TGCTACACAAAATAAGGGATTTCCTCTGGGAAGTCGTGTTTTCTAACTTCCTACCCATTTATTCAACTGAGAATTTAGAGTTCTAAGCTTGTCATACTTTTTTTTAAAAAACCAGGTTCTCCAGTGTACTCAGAAGAAGACAGCTGACCCCACAGTTTCTGTATTTTTTTTATTTCCACCATAATATTTGATTTGATTATTATAGCTATTTGTTTGTTTTCTTAATGTTGAATTTTAACAGTTCTTTGTATATTTTGGATAATAATCCTTTATCAGATGTGTCTTTTGCAAATGTTTTCTCCCAGTGTGTGGCTTGTCTTCCCATTCTTGACATTGTCGTTTGCAGGGCAGAAGTTTTTAATTTTTATGAAGTCCAGCTTATCAGATTGTGTCTTTGGTGTTGGATCTAAAAAGTTGAACACATACCCAAGGCCATCTAAATTTTCTCGTGTGTTATTATCTAGGAGTTTTATAGTTCTGTGATCCATTTTTAGTTAATTTTTGCAAAGGGAGTAAGGTCTGTGTCTAAATTTTTTTTAATGTGGGGATGTGCAGGGTTTTTTTTCAGCACCATTTGTTGCAAAGACTATCTTTGCAGTACAGTGGTATTGCCTTTGTTCCTTTGTCAAAGATCAGTTGACTATATTTACGTGGGACTATTTTGGGGTTCTCTACTATGTTCTATTGATCTATTTGTCTATTCTCTCACCAATACCACACTGTCTTGATTACTGTGTTTTATAGTAAGTCTTAAAGTTGGGTAGTGTCAGTCTTCAAACTTTGTGGGGTTTTTTTTCAATATTGTGGTGACTATTCTGGGTCTTTTGCTGCTCCATATAAACTTTAGTATCAGTTTGTTGATATCCATAAAATAACTTGCTGGGATTTTTATTGGGATTGCCTTGCATCGACAGATCAAGTTTGGAAGAATCGACATGTTGACAATATTGAGTCTTCCTATGTATGAATACAGAATATTGCTCCATTTAATTTGTTCTAGTTGTATTTTAAAACATTGATTTGTGGACTAATTGTATTGTGGTAAGAGAAAATACTCCATGTGATTTTAACCCTTTGAAATTTGGGACTTGCTTTATGGTTTTGTATTGGTATTGGTTGGTTTTTGCAAATCCTCCTTGGATGTTTGAAAATTATGTGTATTCTGCAGTTTTGGGGAGGCAATGTCTATGTATGTCTCATTAGACATGCTTTTTATTGTCCTTTTTAAATCTTTCATATACTTTCTGAATTTTTCGATCTGCTTTTTGAATCAGTTTCTGACTGTGTTGAAATCTCCAACATCATTTATTGAAAGACTTTTCCCACTGAATGGCCTTGGTACTCTTGTTGAAAATCATTTGACTATATATGTATGGGGTTTATTTCTGGGCTATTCTATTCTATTCTATTCTATTCTATTCTATTGGGAGAGATGCCCATTCTTATGCTTCTACCATACTGCTTTGATTACTGTAGTTTTGTAGGAAGTTTTAAAATCAGGAATTATAAGAGCTTTGACTTTAAAAAAAATTATTATTGTTCTCACTATTCAGGATCCCTTCAAATTCTATCTAAATTTGGTATAAATTTTTCTATTTTTGCAAAAGAGATTATTAGGAGTTTGATAGGTATTATACCAACTCTGTAGACTGCTTTAGTATTGACAATAGTATTGACAAATTTTAACAATATTATGTCTTTTAATCCATGGACATGGGATGCCTTTTCATGAATTGGGATCTCTTTAAAATTTCTTTCAATAATATTTTGTAGTCTTTAGTGTACAAGTCTTTTAACACATGGTTAAGTTTATTCCTAAATATATATATATTGATATTATTGTAAATGGATTTTTTCTTAATTTCCTTTTTGAATTGTTCATTATTAAGTGTATAGAAAGACACTTGATTTTTGTATCTTGCAATTTTTCTGAATTTATTTACTACTTCTAACCATTGTTTTTCGGAATCTTTAGGATTTTTCTACATATAAGATCATGTTGTCTGTGAACAGAGATAATTAACTTCTTCCTTCTCAATTTGGATGCCTTTATTTATTTTTTGTGCCTGATTGTTGGGCTAGGACTTCCAGTACTATGTTGAATAGAGTGGTGAAGGGGACATTGTCTTGTCCCTGATCTTAAAGGAAAAGCTTTAAATATGTCATTGGGTATGATGTTAGCTGTGAGCTTTTCATGTGTATACACAGCTGCTTTTAAATGTCTTAATTTTCCTAAGGGTCTCGCCTCTGCTTCTTCTCAGGGCCTTAGATGTTCTGTTGCATCCCTTTGCCTATCAACTCTTGCCTCCAAGTACCCCTGGGTCTGTAGTTCCTCTGCAGTTTTCAGATGCCATGGCATGTGCCACTGCTCACAGCAGCCTCCAAACGATGCCACTGTTCTTGTGTGAGTCAGATGGAACAGAAATCAGTCCCTTGGGCAGCCCCCAGTCATGCCTACACATTGCAAACAAATTCCATTCTTTTCCAGAGAAGAAACTAAGAATTGGGTGACTTCCTCCTAATTGTACTGGGCTTGGGAACGGGTCCGCTGGGGTGTGCAAAAACACCATGAACTGCCTACTGCTTTTAGTTTTTCTTTTTTTATAAAAATCATCACCCAAGGATATGCTTTATTGGTGAGAGAGAGAGAGAGAGAGAGAGAGAGAGAGACATTAATCAGCTGCCTCATGGGACGCCCTGACTGAGAATCAAACCTGCAACCTGGGTATGTGCTCTGCCGGGAAATTGCAGATACACATTTTTAAAAATATATATTTTTATTGATTTCAGAGAGGAATGGAGAGGGAGAGAGAGATAGAAACATCAATGAGGAGAGAGAATCATCAATCAATTGCCTCCTGCACTCCCCCTACTAGGGATTGAGCCTGCAACCAGGGCATGTGTCCTGACAGGGAATCCAACCATGACCTCTTGGGTTCCTAGGTGGATGTTCAACCATTGAGCCCACGATGTCTGGGCTGTCTTGTTTATTTGTTTGTTTGTTTGTTTGTTTTAGACATAGGTCAGAGTGGAGTTTTGATTCAATTGGATAATAAGGCTCATGCCTGACACATCATAAATGCATAATAAAAATTAATTGAAAGATTAAAGGGAATCAAATACACTTAGGGAAAATGCATAAGGGCACACAAGATATGATTCCAGCTCTTGGGGGCTCTTAGTGTAGTTGGACAGATAATACACCATCAGGAAGGGATTATATAACAGCACAAGAAGATCCGCAGTCCAAATGTTTGGAACTCTAGGGAGGAAGGGTCAGGGTTCAAAGAGAGAAATCCCTGGGATTTGGATGTGGCTGCTAAGGGAGGACTTGAGGAGGGGGAGTAACTTAGGTTGGGCCTGGAAGGACGGACAGGTTTTAGAGAGGAGCAGAGTGGGGAGGGAACATGTAGGATGAGCTTGGATCCTCCCAGGGGGATGTGTGGACTGCACAAGCAGAGGTGGGGAGGAGGGTTCTGATTGGTGATGGGGAGGTGAAGGGCAAGTCCATGGGCCAAGAGCATCATTGGGAAGTCAAGGTTCTGCTCTGGCAGGCTCAAAAAGAGTAGAAAAGAATTCAATCTCGCCACCTAGACTCCATGTTGGGCCAAGATGTGAGGTCCCTGGCTCAGGCATGCAAAGATTTGTGTGCGCTGTGAGTATGTGTGGCCATTATGTGGTTTCCCGTTGCTGTGGTTTGGATTTGTCCCTGTAGGAGCTTCTAGTTGTAGATGACAGAAAGTAGAGTGTGTGAATCCTTTCTCATTTGCTTGTTTCTATTACACAGAAGGAGATAATTTTCTCTGAGCAAAGGGCTGATTCCAGCATTCTCCAACCTTGATTGTTTCCTTGTCCCTTCATATACAGTAGTCGCTCCTCCTTCCCCCTTACCCAGGGTTTCACTTTCCACGGTTCCGGTTACCTGTGGTCGACCATGATAAAGAAATATTAAATGGGAACTTCCGGAAACAAACAATCCATAAGTTTTTCAATTGGGTGCCATTCAGAGTAGCGTGATGAAATCTGGCTCCATCCTGCTCTGTCCCATCTGACCCCTGAATCATCCCTTTGTTCGGTGTATCCACCTTGTATACCCTACCTGCCCTTTAATCACTTAGTAGTCACCTGGATTACCAGATCGACTGTCATGGTATCACAGTGCTTGTGTTCAAGTAACCCTCATTTTACTTAATAATGGCCCCCAACGCAATGCTGGCAATTCAAATATGCCAACAAGAAGGCGTAAAGTGCTTCCTTTAAGTGAAAAGGTGAAAGTTCTTGACTTAATAAAGACAGACAAAAAGTCATATGCTAAGATCTATGGTGAGAACATAAAATTGTGTAGAAGGAAAAATAAATTTGTTCTAGCTTTGCTGTCTCACCTCAAACTGTAACGGTTTGGGCACAGTGTGCGGTGAGTGCTTGGGTGAGATGGAAAAGGCATTACATGTGTGGGTGGAAGATATGAACGGATAGAGACCACACTCACATCACTTTTTTACAGTACATTGTCATAATTGTTCTATTTTATTTTTAGTTATTTTTGTTAATGTCTTACTGCGCCTATTTATAGATTAAACTTATAGTATGTGTATATATAGGAAAAGACATAGCACAGAGAGGGTTTGGTACTAGCTGTGGTTTCAGGCATCCACTGGGGGGGTCTTGTTTTTACCCCCTCTCATGAGGGGGTCTACTGCACCCTGACTCTGCGGTTTCTCCTCAAGGGCAGGCAGGGGAGAGACACAGAAAAGGGAGGGCCCTGACCGGCTTGGCTCAGTGGATAGAGCGTCGGCCTGCGGACTGAAGGGTCCCAGGTTCGATTCTGGTCAAGGGCATGTACCTTGGTTGCGGGCACATTCCCAGTAGGGGGTGTGCAGGAGGCAGCTGATTGATGTTTCTCTCTCAGTGATGTTTCTAACTCTCTATCCCTCTCCCTTCCTCTCTGTAAAAAAAATCAATAAAATATATTTTTTTTAAAAAGAAAGAAAGAAAAAGGGATGATTTTCTTGCTGACTCGCCAGCTGGGCTCATTATCTGCCATTTTGGGGGACCTGCTTGAGGGCCAGGCAGACTAATGATGACCTGTCTCCTGAGCCTCCCCCCGCCCTCCCACCTGCCAGGTTCCCTCAGGGCCTTCTTTCCAAGTCAGAAACTGTTCTGGGTGTTGGCAAAGGCCTGCCTCCTCTGGCCTCCTGGTCCACGGCAGCCTGGATGTTCCTGGCTGCCCGGAGGCCGGACTGGATGGCAGTGTCGATCCAGCCAGGGGGCAGGCAGGTGTGCTCGCCAGCAAAGTGGATGCGGCCCTCTGGCTGGGAGAGCCGCGGCACATAGGCCTTAGATTGGTAGGGAGTGAACACAGCGAAGGCGCCCCTGACGAGGGGATCCAGAGACCAGCGCTTGAGCACAGAGGAGGGGCATAGGTGCCGCAGCGCCTCCCTGGGCATCTGGTGCACCGCCGCCAGGTCCTCCAGGACGATATCCACCACCTGGTCCTGCTTCATGGACGCGAAGAAGAGGGAATCGTCGCCCAGCGTGTAGGAGGCCAGCAGGACACCCTTGCCGCTGGGAAGGCTGTGGCTGGGGTAGTAGATGTAGCGCGACGGCCCGTCGGTGATGGAGACCCCGCCGTGGATGCCATCCCGCTCCCAGAAGGGCTCCTTACAGGCCAGGACCACCTTGGTAGCGCTGACGTAATGCACCGAGCGCAGCGCGTCCACCTTGTCTAGCGAGAGTGGTGGCCTAAAGGTGATGAGGCTTGTGGCGCTGGCGGAGGCGGAGATGATGACAAAATCCGCCGTGAGGTTGTGCAGTGCAGAGTTGGACTTGCCCACCCGGTAGGAAACGTGGACCTCAGGCCCATCCCTCACTACCAGCTCCACCCTGGAGCCCAGATGGATGGTGCCAGGCTTCAAGCTGGCACTCAGGGCTTCGGGGAGCTGGTCGAAGCCACCTGTGATCTCGGAAAAGCTGTGGAGGTGAAGAGAGCGGAGGGTGAGGGTGGGAGGCATGAGGCCAGGTCGCCCCGTCTCCAGCAGGGTTCCTGGTCGGAAAGAGGAAGAAGCTAGCTTCATATACATACTTTATACGTCATCTTAACCAGTCTCTGCGAGGGAAGGATTAGCCTTGAATTATCTAGTTCGGAACACTGACACCCAGAGAAAAGGGTGTTTCCCACGATGACAGGCCCTGGATTCAGCCACCATGCAATTCTGCATCCCAGGAGGAATCCTACAGACCTGGGTTTGGATTCAGGCTCCAGCCCTTGGCCCAGTTGTGCCAACTTGGCTGTTTCATAATTTCGCTGGGCCGCAGAAGCCTCACTGCCTCTGAATAATGGTACCTACCTTCTAGGTGATCATAAGATTAAATGCTATAATGCTTGGGAAGTGCTTAGGGCAGTGCCTGGCACATAGTAACTGCTCAATAATCCAAGTTCCCTTTCTCTGCTCTGATTGGAGGAGGGGGCAGATTTGAGCTCTGATTTACATCAGTCTTACTCATCACTTTTGGAGAAGATGATGTCAGATTTCCCGGACTCTAGGAATGACTTGAATTCAACATCCTCATTCATCATATCCCTGATCATCCTGGCTGCTCCCGGGTTCAGCATCCCTTCTTTCACCAGGTAAGCCTGTGGGGAGGTAGAAACGCCAGATGGAGGGCCCAGTGTGTAGGAAGGGGTTTTAGCGGGGCCTGGGTCTGGCCAGGGGTGGGCCTGGACTCCAGGGAGGCAAAGGCGTGGCAGTGGGAAGAGAGGTCCTGGTAGGCAGGGGACAAACTCCGGCAGCTACGCTGAGCACCCATCCCTCCGTCTCTACCTTTGCCTCACTCACCTTGGTGGAGTTAGAAGAGGACATCAGGTGGCTGCAGTTGAAATTTTTCAGACTTTGATTCATCTGCAAAAGGGCAGGAAGGGGAAGCAGCTTTAGATTAAAGCTAATTGTCCAGAAGCAGTATTCCTGGGCTCTCAGGATGTCCCTTTGAAGAGGGAGGAGAGAAAACGGGGGAGGGAAGGACCCAAGGAAGGATGCTTCCAGGAGCTCCTAAATGCTTCTCTTTCTCCTAAAGTCTCCCCTTCGTTTAAAGATGTGTGGAGACTAAAGTTTAAGGTGAAGACATTCACTGCGACCTAGCAGGATTGATTCAATACCACGGGTTCCCTTTCCTTCCATTGCCACTGATCAAGCAATTCCATGGGCCACCCAGGGACAGAGGATATGGGGTTGGGTACCAGGGTTGGGTGGTAGCATTCTTAGGGAGTGTTTCTCCCCTTCGTTTAAAGTTGTGTGGAGACTAAAGTTTAAGGTGAAGACATTCACTGCGACCTAGCAGGATTGATTCAATACCACGGGTTCCCTTTCCTTCCATTGCCACTGATCAAGCAATTCCATGGGCCACCCAGGGACAGAGGATATGGGGTTGGGTACCAGGGTTGGGTGGTAGCATTCTTAGGGAGTGTTAGAGAGAAGGCAGACCAATCAGGCATGTATTGGATAAGAGTCAGGTGACTGGGTCCGTCCACTCACTTGCGTGGTGACTTCAGGCCTCACCCTGCTCTTCATCCCTGGGAGGGGTGAGGCAGGAGGCACGCTGGTAGTGGGCTGGTGGGAGAGATTCTCAGCATTCTTGCCCTTCTCTGTGGGGTTCATGGAGTAGCCCAGGATCTCTGGGTTGGCCTTGACCTCTCTCATGCGGTAGCGTTGTCCATTGATGAGGTACCAGGCGTTGTCATTGTAATGGATGAATGTGTTCAGCGTCAGGCCCAGCTTCTTGACATAGGTGTGAACCAGCCTGGAGAAAGTACAGACATCAACATGACACCCATCCCAATGGCACCGCATTCCTGCTGGCCGCACAACAGGAGCCATTTCCGGGAAAACTAGTTTCTTTATGTGCCCAGGGAACTCAGACTAACTCCTTCCTCATCTCTACCCCTGTGTCTTCTTGCTGTGGCATTAGTTCATTTCCTTCTGTTTTTGCCCTGAGGGAGGTGGGGAGTAGGGAGTTCACCCATCACAGAATGAAGGCCGTTTAGGAAATATCAGTGTATAGGATTCAAATATAGAACCAGAGGCCTGTTGTTTCAGACAGTATTTGAAATTCCACTTTCTATTCCCAGGTAAGCTCGAGGCCGTATCTAAAGACTTCTAGTTTGGGCTAATTCACTTGGGTTTTGTTTTAGTTTTTGGTGGTGTTTTGAGGGAAATCTCAGGTTCCGTTTATATTTTAAAAAGAAGTCATATTTTTCCCAGCCTCACGTTTTGATTTCCAGTCAGGCAGAGCATGTGCTGGGGGTTTGGGGCTTGATCCCCAGTAGGGGGGTGCAGGAGGCAGCTGATCGATGTTTCCATCTCTCTAGCCCTTCCTTTCTTTCTAAAATCAGTAAAAACATATTTTAAAAAACAAGTCATATTTTTAGAGGTATATGGGACACCAGCTGAGGGGTCTTTTTGTCTTGGCAGCCTCAGGACCAGGGGCCAGGTTCTTTTCCAGGAGCTGGGTACAGTTTTAGGGTTAGGTTTTGAAAAGCATCTTCTTTTGTGCCAGGCATGCCCCTGCTTTTGAGGATCTTTGTCATTTTCTCCTGGGAGAGTCTTGGGTGAGTCACTTAATATCTCTGAGCCCAGTTTCTTGATTTGTAAGTGGGAAACATAAAAGTATCAAATTGCAATAATGAAATAATGCACATAGTAAGCATTCGACAAATGGCAGCTGTTATCATTTGATAGCTCACTGCGGTATAACTGACATGTAAGAAGCTGCCTATATTTAAAGTATACAATTTGATGAGTTAATGGTAATTATTATTATTAGTTTAGGATCTTCCACTTTCTCTGTGACCCTGGGCTCTGAGGATATGGACTGGTCTCTGTCAAGTGGGAGACCAGTGTTAGTCCCGACTTGCAGGATCCGATCCGACGGGACAGTGAATCTGAACGGGCTCTAACTCAATGGCAGCAGGACCCACACTACCTCCTCCTAATCACCCCTTCTTATCCTCCCTCCAACCCTTTCCCAGGACTTACCTGTGGGACTTTGGGATTCGCATGGGCCCCAGTTCGTGGTACCAGCCCTCCTCCTTGTTCCTGATTGTGACCACTCGACCCCCAATGCGGTTGCTGGCTTCCAAGACGGAAACCTGGGGTCCCGAGAAGCTGCTGTCATTCCAGGGCCAGGCTGTCCCTTCTCTACCCTGTACTCCTACCCCCACCCAGTCACAGGCTCTAATCTGGATCCCCAGCGCTAGGTCCCTGAATGTGCAGGATAACCAAACCGTGGGGATAGGGAGCCCTCCGGGAGGGTCCTCAGTAATGTGAGTGAGGCAGAGAGTTCCGCGTGGCAGGGGACAGCGTGCCTCTTGGTCTTTACCTGTTAGCAAACCCCTTCTCTACTTTTGTTTCCGGGAGAACACAGGTTGCAGTTAAGGCCAACTCTCAGGGGAGTTTTGAGAAACAATGACTAAGGGCTAAGAGATCCAGTGGGTTACGTGCAATTGTTTTCTTGATCTTCTCCCACCCAAGCAAGAAAACCCAGAGGCAAAGGGCTGAGGCCCCTCCAAAGCCGGCTCACCTGGTGGCCAGCGTCTTGCAGGGCCTTGGCTGCCACCAGGCCGGACATGCCAGCTCCCACCACCACCACACGCCGGGGCAGCGGGGCGGTGTGGAGGCCCTCCTGGGCTGTGACAACGATGGACTCGTACTCAGGGTCCTGGAAGCACTCGGCCAGGTCGTCATGGTGGCCAAGGCAGCTGGGAGTAGCCAGCAGGAGCCCCAAGACCAGCATTCCTGGGGCAGAGAAAGGAATGGGGGCTGTCTTTCTGGGGCCCAGATTTTATCCCACCTGCGCCAGGATGAGCTTGGCTGTGCGAACGCGTGGGGATAGTAAGGTCAGGCAGAGTGTGTTGAATGTGTGGTTGTAAACACTTATGTTTGTGATTGTGTCTCTGGTGGGGTGATTGTGTTGTGTGGGTACGAATGGATGTGCGAACCATGCTGGTGTTAGTTGTGTGATTGTAATTGTGGGCTGCAAGTTCTTGTGTTTGCATGTGATTGGAAATCATGAATGTATGCAGATTTGTATTTGACTGTAAATATGCCTGCTTGTGATGGCGAACTGCCTGTGTGTGAGCTTGTCTGTGATACAAGTTGCTGTGACTGTGAGTTTGTGATTGTTGCACTGTACTGTGCACAGACTGTGCATTGTCTGTGATTTTTTAAAATATATTTTATTGATTTTTTACAGAGAGGAAGGGAGAGGAATAGAGAGTTAGAAACATCAATGAGAGAGAAACATCGATCAGCTGCCTCCTGCACACTCCCTACTGGGGATGTGCCCGCAACCAAGGTACATGCCCTTGACCGGAATCGAACCTGGGACCCCTCAGTCCGCAGGCCGACGCTCCATCCACCGAACCAAACTGGTTAGGGCCATTGTCTGTGATTTTATGTGAGGGGATGTGTTTGTGGGACAGTGTGTTACCCGAGCAAATGTGTGCATGAATCTGTATGGGACAGCGAGATGGGATGTAGTGTGTGTGTATAAGCCTGGGTTTGGAAGAGATCATTTGCTTGAGTTGGAGAGAGAATATGGTTGCTTGTGTTCTTGTATTTAATTCTGTGTGTGCATTTGAGTGTGAGGCTGGGAGGGCGAGGGGGGAACTGGGGCCTGAAGGTATCTGTGTCCTTTGGGAATATGTACATTTGTGAGAGGATGGTGTGTGTGTGTGTGTGTGTGTGTGTGTGTGTGTGTGTGTACGTGAGAGTGTGTGAAGCACATCTCTCTTCAGGGAAAGGGAGTGGAGGAATTGTGACCAGTTTCTCAGTGACATCACTAGCCCCGAGGGACCTTGGCAGTCCTGTCTGTCTTCCCCAGCCTCACAGTGTTTTTTCCAAAGCCCTCCGGGTTTCTAACGTGCAGCCGAGATTGAAACCAGCGTTGGTATAGAACATGCAATACATCCTGTTGCCTGTTCTTAAAGGGAAAGCCAGGAGCTGGGGCACGCTGTGCCTCCTTGCACTTGTGGGATTTGGGGCAGGTGAGAACGCTTGGTCTAGTCTTTGTACAGGCGGGACCACCGAGGTTCACAAGAGAAAAGGGATCTCCAGGGGCTGCCCTTGAAAAGAGGCAGGGCACCCAGCTGTTCCCAGTGCAGGCCCTTCCCAATGCCAAGAGAGCCTCCTGCAGGGGTGACTCCTCAGAAAAGGGGGGAGGGGTACCCATGCCTCAGCCTTGCCCTCTTTCGCTCCCCCAGGCCTACTTCAGCCTCATTAATCCATTCTCCATCCCTGACACATTTTTCCATCTCCCTGGGCTGCCACAATTCCTCTCATAGACCCCACACCCTTCCTCTTGAATGGGCCCAGCCCCCAGACTCATTCCTATATCCGTTCTCTTGACTCCCTTTCAATACCCGGACCTACCCAAAGCCCCTAGTCTAGTTCCTGTCGCATCTCAGTCCCCATCTTCCTTCCCCTTGCATGACCCTATATCCAGACTCCCCTTTGGATCCATCTCAACTCCCTCAGCCCATCCCACCCCTGGATATAGCTCTTGTCCCTGTTTCAGAGTGTGTGGGAGGCATAGAGGACCAAGTCCTCGCATGATTTGAAAATGCCTTCATTTTTAACTGACTTTATTGTTAAGTTTCATTTTAGTTTTTTTTCTAAAAGATGTGTGGGAGGCATCATAGAGGACCAAGTCCTCGCATGATTTGAAAATGCCTTCATTTTTAACTGACTTTATTGTTGAGTTTCATTTTAGTTTTTATTGATATTGACTTGACTGAGTACAGAATTCTACCATTTTCAATGCATCTGGGAAGGCTCAAACACTGTGCCCCAAGCCTCTACAGGGAATTCGACCTGCAAGAACATTCTTGTGCACAGTTCATGTCTGTGCTCCCGAACGTCTTCAATTTTTTTTGGAGTCCTGTGTTCTGGATAAAGTCTAATGCTAATTCTGTTTCTTGTTTGTGTGTGTGTTTGTTTGTTTGTTGCAGGTAATCTCTCGTCTTCCCCACAACTGGAAGCATATAAGGATTTTCTCTTTTTCATAATTCTGGAATTACATGAAGACATGTTTGGATGTCATTTCCTTTTCACTGCCTT